TTATATTCCAACGAGAGGGATAAGGAATATAAATCTGCATAGCATACATTGTTAAAAAATTCCAATTTTAAGTTGGGTGTATGGCCAATTCAATACTTCTTTCTCTCTCTTTCTTTTTTCTGATCTGCAATACTTCTTGCATGGCTGCTATGTTTTTTTACCTCGTTGCATGACTGCTATGTTAATTAACTTTTATGCAAATTTATGTCCATTCTATTCTCTAAGGAGTATACTAGGACATTTGAGCATGCCTTCTTCTCAAAAAACTTATATGAGCAGACTCTTAATACAATATAATATTGGTATGTGGACCGTAAATAGGATCTGTAATCTCCATCTTAAATGATTTCAACTACTGCAAATGTCGGTATGGTCACATTATTTGATTGATGTGAAAATGGATCTGATGTTGTAAATGCGACTTGAGTCTCGACATCTATAGTCATGTAATTGATTTGCCTCTCCATAGGTTATTAGGTTTTAAATTTCTCATCCCGGTAACAGAAATAAATTTTCTAGAAAAATCAATGTAATAAAGCATATCTGTTTCAAACATTTTCTATATGAATTTTGAGAGTATGTGCCAACCTTTTGTCCTTTAGATAGATCACAACACCAACCTAATTTTTTGATAGATAAACATGATTTTTCATACTTAGTTGGTTCTAAACTTCCGGATATCATGAGATAATTGCAGATAATATGTCTTAGTTATCAGTTTAGCTCTTAATCTCTTTCTCACACATAGAAAGAGAGAGAACGGGAAGTAGGATACGTGGCAGCAATGATGGGCTGCCGTATTGCACACAGATAAGTTGCGTATAGAGTCGAGCTTATCGGGTTACGGATTTGTGAATTTTTTTTTTCTACCGTTGCAACGCACGGGCATGTTTGCTAGTAAATATAAAATCACCTAAGCGGGACGAAACCAAAAATATCACCTTGCTTTAATAGTAGGTATAGATTGGTTGCAAAAATATATCCATCCAAGTAGCATGTGACAAGATTTTGCTCATGATTTATCACACTATCTTGATGATCTACTTTTCATGGATTCTTTTTGTGCGACCTTTCCTAGACTTGATTATGTAGTAGTTTGTGCTATGATCGTCCGAGCAACTAAGCATATTGCAGAATTATTCGAAGTTCCATACGAGAGTGGTGACCCTGGGATTTATATTTTGTTTCATGTCGTGTCGTGGTCTTGTTATGAGAGATCTACATGTATACTAAGTGTGTGTGCGCTCACATCACATTTTACATTTATTTACAATTAATTACACATGAGAATACAAGAGCGGCCGAGAAGAAGGAGATCAATAGCGTGAGGGCGTTCGTAGCCTCACTAAATTTTTTGTCTCGGCTGAACAAAAACCATCTTTATTTGTTTCTACGTGGTCGCCAGCAAGATTTGAATAGGCTAGGAGCACTCATAACATGTCATCAAGGGAAGCACGGAATCAATGCGCATGAAAAATGCAGCTATGTCCGCATATAGGTGCAATCAACATAAAAGTTCCCAATACGAATAGGTGAGTTGTTTGATCAGGTTGTCTAAGTGAGCGCTCTGACAATGCAAGGAGGAGAAAATACTGGAGAAGGAGAATACAAGATCGTCCCATACCGAGACCAATCTGCCAAGTTATCCTACACCTATGGATTAATCATACGAAATTAAAATTAACGGATGAGGTTGTATCATGTGGTTGGAGGGGGAGGAGGACCGATACAACATCGATGCGGCAGTGTCGAGAAACGGCGGGTCTGGTGATTTTGGTGCAATATGCACAAACCAGGACGTGGCCTTTTTGGGAGCAAGTCTGCAGTTGTTTTCAAGGGCATTTCTAACCCAACTACAACAGAAGCACTTGTTGCCAGACAAGCCATGGACGTTTCAGATGATCCATATAATCAACGAATTCATGTTGCCTCGGACTGCAAGGTGGTGGTTGACGCTATAAAGCAAGGAAGTCATGCGAGCTACAGAGCAATTATCCATGAGATCATTGGCTATTCGTCAGTTTCTTATTATTTGTTATATAGTCCATGAGTTTAGGAGATCGAATTTTGAAGCTCTGAATCTAGCAAAGCATGCTTTTGTCTCTAGGGACCGGCCATCATGTTTGGTTAGACCAACTCGACGATCTTTCTTTCGTCCCTCTAAAAGCTTAGCGAGATTCTGCTAAAAACAAACTTCCCCCCTGCACCTTCATGTCATGATGTGTGTGTTGCTGGACAAAACTCAGGACAGTTGTAAAGCACGCGTTTGGTAGGCTGCATACAGCGCAACCAGGCCCGGTCGGGTTGAAAATGGGCTGTTTGGTAGCCTGCAGGCCGACCTGGCTCGCATCTGCAGAGAACTTAAAGCACTCCGGCGCCTGGCTTGCTGGGAAAGCTTGAATCGGCCGTTTCCAGTGAGCCGGGCTGAGTGGGTGGAAAAGAAGGCGCGACATAGGGCGTGGTACAGGGGGAGTGCGGGCGGAGATGGTGGGAGGGGAAAATTGGCCGAGGCGAGGTGGCGCCAAATATACCTTCTCCACCCCATTTACTTGCTCACCTCTAGCTGTAGGACAAACTCTCCTCTGTTGTTGGCACCGACGGTGGCGGCTACTCAAATCTGCGGTAGCGACGGCGGCTGCGACACTCCCCTACAGTGGCAAGAGGCGGCAGGAGCACTCCACGGCAGCGGGCAGCTGCTTCTCCCTTTCTTCTTCGTCTCTATTCAGCCATCCTCGTCTCCGCCATGCCTCCCCCGACCTCAAAGCTGGTAAGCTACCTCCTCCCCCTCTTCTATTATGTGTTAGGTCGTTCGATAGGAACGTTTAGGGTCGATAGCGCCATCGCTGACCGCATTATGGATGTCACTTAGGTTGTGGATGAATGGACGAAGCTTATAGTTCGGGCAACATCGCTGATAGCTATGGTTCAGGCCTGGATCTTGTTGGTCCATAAGAGAGCTATTCGTCGGAATGGGAGACCTAGCATCTGGTATGCTCCGATGTTAATCCGGGATCAAGAGAGGATAGCGAATCTGAAGTACATCCACAACTGCAACGACACAGAGGCTATGTGGATGCTTCGAATGAAAAGAGCACCTTTCGCCAGGCTTATGCAGACGTTTAGGAGGAGGGGCTTCTAGAAGATAGCATCCACATCATTATGGAAGAGCAAGTGGCCATGTTCCTTCATGTTGTTGGTCATAACCAGAGGTTCATGGTTGTACACAACACCTTCAAGAGATCAATGGAGATAATCTCCAGGTACTTCAAGCAAGTGTTATATGTTGTTGGGGAGCTCAGAGGAGAGATGAACAGGTCACCAACCGGCTGGACTCTTACCAAGATTCGCACTAGCCCAAGATGATATCCATACTTCAAGGTGAGCTTACTTCATGCATTCATATGTTGTTATTGATCTGTAGTAGACTAACAACATATTGTAATACCATTTCAGGATTGCATTGGAGCAATAGATGGTGCTCATGTCACTGTCAAAGTGCCGAGATCACAAGTTGCAGCATATAGAGGGAGGAAGCACTACACAAGCCAGAATGTGCTAGCTGCTGTTGACTTCGATCTGAAGTTCACATATGTGTTGGCTGGCTAGGAATGATCAGCACATGATGCTAACATTCTCAGTGACGGCATGGGTTGTCATGATGGCATCAACATCCCCGATGGAAAGTTCTACCTTGGAGATGCTGGCTATGCATGTAGACCAGGTGTTCTTCCGCCCTTCAGGAAAACCAGGTACCATATGAATGAGTTTGCTGGTAGGAACTATCCTAGGACTCCTCAGGAACTGTTCAATCTCAGAAACTCCGGCCTTAGAGTGACTACTGAGAGGGCCTTTGGAGCTTTGAAGAACATGTTTAAGATCCTGGATCAGAAGCCATTACACCCTTACCCTACCCAGGTGAAGCTTGTTCTTGCATGCTGCATCATTCACAATTGGATCCTGCAATGGGGAGTTGATGAATTTGTGCCGGAGGAGGAAGATGTGACTCCTGATGAGGTGATCAGCTCCGACCATGATGTGGAGGCATTCGACAACAAAGCGTGGAAGAACAAAAAGTCAAAGTGGGCTCAGGCAATGTGGGATAATAGAGGTCAGACAAGAATCAGAAGCATAAGAACAAGAGGAGGAAGAAGAAAGAGGCAGCAACAGAAGCGAGTAAGAGGAAGCAGCACATCAGCAGCAGAGGGATAGGAAGAGAAAGATGATGAAATCGCACCTAGTTAGCATCATTGAACTTTCCTTATTCAGCCATGTTGGCTCTTAATAATTTGTACTGTCATTTGCTAGTAGATAGGGTAAACTGCCATTTATTTTCTAGTTAGGACAAGACAATGTCCAGTGTGTGTAGTAAGATCACCACTAGTGAGAAGTGATGATCGCATCTTTAGCCGTTTGCAACCCAACAACATGTTGTTTGTTTAGCAACAGCGACGCATGCAACCAAACAGCGTGCTCACTAGTTGATTTCCTCGTACAGAAAGTTTAATGCGGGCAACCAAACTACATGCATATGTTGGTTTTTAGTCAGCATTTGCTCAATCAGCCTCAACTAGAACAAGAACAAGTAGGCAAAATGCCGGTGAACCAAATACGGCCCCGTGCACCGTGTGGACACGTTTGGAACAACCAAATACGCCCCCGTGCACCGTGTGGACACGTTTGGAACAAAGTCGTCAGTCCGGGCCAAGATTCCTCCGTCGCCTTCCTCCGTCCATCACTTGTCGACAGCAACTGGCCACCGTGATTCCGTACTCACTCACCTGTGTGTCGCGCACTTGGCTGGCACATAATCTAACTTGGCCGCCACTTGAGACTCGCCTGGGACGGCAGAGACGCGACGACTCTTGAAGCAACCGCTCCTCCCTTCCCCTGCTCTACACCAACCCCCACGGCCGGCCCCAATCCAACCAGACCCTGCCGCTGGCCTCAGTCGAGGGAGGCGGAGCGGACGCAGCCAACCACTCGGGCGGCGGAGCGGGCTGATGGCCGGCCCGGGCGCCGACGAGCACCAGAAGCGGCGCCGGGGGCGGCCCTCGCCCGCCGATCTGCTCCTCAACTGCGACCTGCCCCCTCCGGCCAAACTCTTCGGCCCCCTCCCGACTCTTCTTCACAGGTAAGGCGCGTCCCCTTCACGGATTGGCCATGGCGCATCGCTCAGCTTTTTTTCTTGTTCTCTTTTCGCGCGAGGAAAGATTGGAGAGCGCGGCGGGGGCGGATAAGAAGGGCGACGGCGGCAACGAGGAGCTGCGGCGGGCGCTGCGGCTGTCGCAGTCGCGGGCGCGGGAGGCGGAGCGGAAGCTTGCCGCGGCCAGCGGAGGCCTGGCAGCGCTACTCGTGCGGGACTCGGTGCTGCTCTCGGCGCACCGCCGGTGGGTCATGATGCTCGAGGCCGAGAACTCCGCGCTCAGAGCCGCGGGCGCCGAGCCTGAAGATGATGAGGAAGATGGGGATGCCGCCCGGCGCGGTGTCGCCGCCGCGTGGTGGGTCGCGCTGGCGGTCTGCGTCGTCGGCCTCGCCCTCGGCAACCTCCTGCTCTGAGATTAACCATGTATCCTTATTAAGTTTCAGTGATTTCCTTCTGTGAATCCTGCTCTGAAATTGAAAATTAACCATCCCATCCATCCTTACAGCTTCAGTGATCCATAGTTGGGTCACAGCGGCTGATTGTGTAAGAATGTTAACATCTGCTTGATGTTCTGCATTGGAAGCTCGTGTTGTTGTAGATCAATAGACGAAATCTGCTTGATTGGTCCGGAAGCCGCCGTAACCATCTCTGCACGCTATCATCTACTCTATCAGGAGATTCATGACAGTGACTTGCCTCTTATAGTACAATTAGCCTGGTTTGGATAACTGTGGGCTTCAAGTCGTGTTGAATATGGAAAGCTTCTCTAGCCATGGCATAGTGATCCATGACAGATGACTGACTGCGACATTTCTTCAGGTTGGAATTGGTGGCTAATCAATTATGGAGGCCTTGTTTGTTCTATTTGGTCTTTCAGCTGATGGTGCTGTCCTTCAGGTCACCTGGTTGCAGCTTATATATGTTGAGTGTCAGCAGTTCAGCCTTCCTTTGCCATGTTTATTAGATGTCTTTATCTCCCCAGTTTGTGTCCGGTGTAATCTGTGAGGGCTTCCAGTCTGAGACTGACCTCAAGTTATGTAAATGATGGAATTTGTTGTCGTGCTTCTCCAGATATCGTCCTCCTCTGCCTCTATCACCTCGAAGAGGCGCACGTGCTTCGCCTCGTTAACGCGGAGCTGCCAATACTCGCGATGTCGCCCATGGACGCGCACACCGCCCAAATTTTCAGTTTTTCTTTTCTTTGCGAGAAGTATGGTTGTGCTTTCCGCGGAAGCAAATATGTACTTCTATGATCATGGAAATACAAAATTTTCCTGCTCGAAAATAAAAATCCATGCAAAAGATTTCTCCATAACCTAAGAAAAACCAATGAAAATCGAAAAGACAAAAAATAGAAAAAACCCGAACGCACATACAAAGATCTAGAGGAAGCACCCAACACACGAAAAAAAAAGCCCCACAAGCGACATGTGGCAGTAGCTGAACACACTACTTGGCGTGCTCCTAGGCCACTAAAAATGACCACCAGGGACCTCCAGTTAATTATTTAGGGACCTCTAGTTAGTTGCTCTCCACTTAGAGGCGGCTAACGCTATTGTACTGTACCCAAGCCTAACTAATAACATAAAAAAAAAGAACTGGAAGATGGGCCGGCCCATGGGAAAGAACAGCGCGTGTTGAACAAGAGTTGTAAGGTCAAACCCAGTTAGGCGATGTTTCCTATTCGCAGCCACTAGGGCACTCCATTTGGAACGTCTGGATACTTCCAATTTGTTTTAATTTTTATTTTATTTTCTGTTTTTCCATTATTTTTTGGTGTTTTTCATTTTATCTTTTTTCTATTAAAGTACATGGACATTTTTTGCTCCGTGAAGAATATTTAAATTTGTAAATGTTTTCACAAATGAAGCCATGAAATTCTTTAAATTCGTGAATATATTTTATATTTATGAACACTGTTTAGATTTGTGCACATTTTTCAAATTTGGTGAATTGTTTTCAAATTTTTTAACTTTTCTTAAAATTCGCAAACATTTATTTATGTGGGTTTGATGTATGATGTTTGTTGTTGGCTCGAATTCTACCTGTTGGCTTTATTTGTAAAGTCTGGCGTATGTCTTTTTCTCTAAAAGAATATAATGAGTGACACCCAATCACTACATAGATAAGATGCATACGGCCAAAAAAAAGTCTTAACAAAGTATATAAAAGTAACAAATTGGCAACAGTAGAGCCCTATGAGACCGAAAGAAGGCCTATGTTGACGAAGAAGGTGGACCTATTTGAAGGTTATTCCGCCATCCATGATGGATAAAAACCTCTCCGGTCACATGCTCCAACCGCATACACATCATTTTGAACATCGATTGATGCTGAGTTCCGTGTAGCATAGACAACATACAAAATGCTGAGTACACATGCAGAATGAGTGCTTCGTATCACCCCATCCCACAATTCTTGTCTTAGATTTGTCTAGCTATGGATGTATCTTACACTAAATTCTTGTCTTAGGTAGCCATCGGCAAGTAGTACACCTGCCGAAGAAATCAAACTGTATGTACGCATGACTAAATCAGCTTCCATCGATTCATCAAGTGCGTGGCTGTTGCTTTCGACGAGGAGTACATAGATGATCACGGCAATGATTCTTGGTGTAGAGCTTGCGCCAACAGTTAGTTCACTCTAATATCTCAAGTGGCACCATACCTACAACGAAATTGTGGACAACTAACTAAAGATGATGTTTGATAGATAAAAGTCACTTTCTGATTCCAAGCAGCGGGGCAAATGGATAGTACAGGCTTAGATGATGAAATATGAGAGGGTATACATTAAGCCCATCTCCAAAGAAACTTTCACATGGAAACGAAAGCATGTGACAAGTATGACACTAAGTTACACAACTCATGACCAGGAGTGTTTGTTATTCTTATTTTCATGTGAGGGGATAAGACTCAGTCCTCGCGCACTTCTAAATTCTAACTGAGGGAGATGCTAAGGCTGAAAGCAACGGTCATGCGTCCATTGCATTGTTACCATGGCCCATGGAGGCACAAAGAACTTATTCAAGCCGTTCGTTACGGTTTAACCAAGACATGCAAGTTCCAAATGCTATATCGCCATAGTACAATTATTGGGTTATGTTTGACTACTAGATAGGTGGACGTGATAGATTAAGTTAGTTATAGAGGCGTAGTACATTGCAATTCTTTAGATTAAAAAAGATAGGATCACTCATAATGCATGCAGTGTAACGAAAATATCCTTCCATTCTTTCTTTCTTGGCCCGTCTGTGTTTAACAGGTGATGTGAACATGTGAACCAGCGGCGAGATCCACGGCTGCATGCATGGGTCGCAAGACTCAAGCATCAATAGCCGTACAAGTCCAAACCAGAGACGTGCCGCATGTGCCGCGGCGCTAGGTACAGTTAAGCTCCGTACAGGAAACATGAAGGAAAAGTGGTGAATTAGTGGGGGTCGATCATGGCTGCCGGATCATGGAGCAGGGTAGGGCCAACGGGAGCTCTGTTATGGAGTTATCAATGCCGGCAGGTTCAGTGAGGTTCATGACTCCCGAGACACGAGCATCACTATCTGAACAAGTCCAAACCCGTGATGTGCCTCGGCGCCAGTAGAGTTCAGCTCGGAATAGAGAACAGGAATGGAAAGCGGTGCTTTAGCAAGAGTCGATCAGCGCCGGTCCTCGAGTTTCGGAGGCCCCGGGGCGAACTCAAATGAATGGGCCCAGTGACAGCACTGGAGGGAAAAAATTATTCCATACATTGATAAAAAAAATATTGCAAAGCTATAATAAACAGCGGTAATTTTCCTTGGTAAATAACACCTCCAAGTCATAAATAACATTTTCATACTGCAGGTGTAAATCAAACATCATAGAAGTCACAGAGCATAACAGAAAAGAAATGACATACTAGGGAACCTCCAAGCCTCCATTAATCATGAGAAACGGCTCCATGCATTTTTTTTGATGCAAAATCATTAAATGAAAATGTCAAGATAAATGTAGTCTGTTTCAAACACAAGATTTTGTTCCCTTGTAGGCCCTTTTTATAATCAGAATATCTCTTGATTTATTGTCAAGAGTGTCCCAGTTTCTAGGTTCATAGATATCAAAAGGAGAAAATCCTTGTTCATCTACACTTGCAGGATTCTCACGGTCACTCAAAATATTTATAGGAGTCTCATATGGGCATTGTTTCCTCAATTTGGTCTCATTCTCAGGGGGTTGTTGTTGGCCTTGTGCCCCCTTTTTCTCTGAGCAACTGGCCTTGTGCGTGCGTGCCTGCCTTTAGGCCTCTTGACAGTTGGGCTTCTGCTGGAGATGGGCCTCCCTGCCTACAGATTTTTTTCTTTTTTATTTAGCATTTCATCAAAGCCCATATCTATATATACACTGCAGCACTAGGTCGGGGCCCCTAATTTGGCTGGGCCCCGGGCCGTTGCCCCTGCTGCCCTGGCCCAGGGCCGGCCCTGGAGTCGATCAAGGGTGCCATGCATATCATGGAGCAGGCAGGGCCACCGACGGACGACAGCGCTGTCACAACGTTGGCAATGTTGGCAGCTCGGACAACAGCTCGGAGCATGGGTGAGCCTTGGAGATTTTCAAACATGGCATGTTGTCCTTCCAGCGGATGTGGATAAAGAACGTGAGCCCTCGTCGGAATCGGAGCTAGTGCTCCAACGAGCATTGAAGGCAGAGTCAAAGTAGAATGTATGACCTTGTCAGTTCCTTCTAATATCTTAATTTGCACCATCACACAATAGAAGTTATATTGTACATGTGATGCATGTAAATCATCGATATGATATTTGATGGATACAAGTTGCATTTTGATTCCTCAATAGGGTCATATATGCATTGCATACATGAATGTGTATGGTAACATATATGGGAGGGTATATATTGAGCCCAACACCCCCAAAGAAACTAGGCAATCATGTGCCAAATATGACACCAAGTAACATGTACAACTCATGAGATGTTCTGTTAATCAGATTATGATTTTTGGGTGCAAAAGCCTTGACATGTCCGTCACACTATATGTATGTATGTAGCATGAATCCTCGCATCTAACTTCCGCTTGAAGTTGAGTATTCATGTAGGACGGTGATCCTTAATGAAATTAATAATTGGACGATGCTTCAGTGAGGTTCATGCAACCAGAATTAATCACCATTACTGAGTGTGTGAACCCTTTGGACATGATTTACCCCTTTTTTTGCTGAGGGCCTACTTTACTTTTGCGTGCAATGTCCAATTGGAGAGAAACTTGCAACGTCGATGGCCTCGCCCTGGGCAACCTCCTGCTCTGAGATTATTCACAATCTCAAAAACAGTCAGAAGTTTCAATAAAGGTTCGGGGTTCAAAATTTTGTTTGCATTATAAAAAAGTGTTCCTGTTTTCCAAAATTAGTTCACAAATTCGAAAT